CACGCGCACGCGCACGACGAGGCCGCGCAGGACGGCAAGCCGCGCTACAGCTACGCCACGCTCATCACCTACGCCATCAACTCCTCGCCCGCCAAGCGCATGACGCTCAGCGACATCTACCGCTGGATCTGCGACAACTTCCCCTACTACAAGAACGCCGGCGTGGGCTGGAAGGTGCGCGCGGCGTGTGCGCGTGCGCGGGGGTGGGCTGGACGGGGGCGCGGGGCTGTGCGCGTGCGCGTGGGTGGGCTGGACGGGCGCGGGGCTGTGCGCATGCGTGCCATGTGGGTGCGCATGCGCGTGGATGGGCTGAAAGGTGCGCGAGGTGTCCGCATGCGTGCGATGTGGGTGCGCATGAGCGTGGATGGGCTGAAAGGTGTGCGGGGTGTGCGCATGCGTGCCATGTGGGTGCGCATGCGCGTGGATGGGCTGAAAGGTGCGTGAGGTGTGCGCATGCGTGCGATGTGGGTGCGCATGCGCGTGGATGGGCTGGTGCGCGGGGGAGTGCGCATGCGTGCGATGTGGGTGCGCATGAGCATGGATGGGCTGGAAGGTGCGCGGGGGTGTGGACATGTGTGCGATGTGGGTGCGCATGCGCGTGGATGGGCTGGGTGCGCGGGGTGTGCTCATGCGCGTGGATGGGCTGGAAGGTGCGTGGGGGTGTCCGCATGCGTGCGATGTGGGTGCGCATGCGCGTGAATGGGCTGGAAGGTGCGCGGGGGTGTGGGCATGCGTGCGATGTGGGTGCGCATGCGCGTGGATGGGCTGGAAGGTGCGCGGGGGTGTGGACATGCGTGCCATGTGGGTGCGCATGCGCGTGGATGGGCTGGAAGTGCGCAGGGGAGTGCGCATGCGTGCGATGTGGGTGCACATGTGTGTGGATGGCTGGAAGGTGTGCGGGGTGTATGCTCGTCGATGGACTGGGGGGTGTGCGCATGGGTGCAATGTGGATGTGCATGCGCGTGGATGGGCTGGAAGGTGCGCGGGGTGTGCGCATGCGCGTGGATGGGCTGGAAGGTGTGTGGGGGTGTCCGCATGCGTGCGATGTGGGTGCGCATGCGTGTGGATGGGCTGAAAGGTGCGCGGGGTGTGCGCATGCGTGCGATGTAGGTGCGCATGAGCATGGATGGGCTGGAAGGTACGTGTGGGTGTGGACATGCGTGTGGGTGCGCATGCGCGTGAATGGGCTGGAAGGTGCGCAGGGGAGTGCGCATGCGTGCGATGTGGATGTGCATGCGCGTGGATGGCTGGGAGGTGCGCGGGGCGTGTGCGCATGCGCGTGGATGGGCTGGAAGGCGCTCAGCAGGAATGCGCATGCGCCGTGCTGGAGCTTGCCCTCAGGGCCCTGGACTCTCGGGCTTTTGTGCGCCAGGCTGGCGGGTGCTCCACCACCTGAGCCACTGCCCCACGTCTGGTTTTCTTTTTTTGTTTTTTCTTTTTTCTAATTTATTTTTGGAAATAAGACTTGCAGTAGATTTTCCTGCCAGGGCCGGCCTCGAACCGCGATCCTCCGCTCTCAGCCTCCTGAGTAGCTGGGGTGCCCTGGGTGGCGTGGTAGGTGGTTCTGTGTTCCTTTAGGTCCTAGTAGGAAGTTTTCTGCTGTGCACAAACCTGGGGTGACACCTTGTTTCTCTGCTCCCCCAGAATTCCATTCGACACAACCTGTCTCTCAACAAGTGTTTCCGGAAGGTTCCCCGACCTCGAGATGACCCTGGGAAGGTGAGCTGGAGCGGGAAGGCGGGGAAGCCCGGGGCTCTCTAATTCCCCGGAAGAGGAAGCCGTGTTCACTGGAGAAGCGGCTTCCTCCCTCCAGGAAGAACACGCACGGTTGTGAGGCCTGTGGGCCTGCGTGGAAATGGGGACTAAGGGAGACTCTGGTCCCTCTCTCTGTCTCTTTTGGTGTCAGTCCTGGGGCTTGAACTCTGGGCTGGTGCGCTGTCCCTGCGCTCTTCAGCTCAAGGCGGGCGCTCTACCACTTGAGCCACAGCGCCACTCCCGGTTTTCTGGTTCATGGGAGATCAGAGGCTCCCAGACTTTCCTGCCCGGGCTGGCTTTGAACCACAGCCCTCAGATCTCAGCCTCCTGAGGAGCTGGGGTGACAGGCGGGAGCCACCAGCACCCAGCTCCTGAGCTTCTTTTTGGTCAAGGCTGGTGCTCTACCAATTGAGCCACAGCGCCACTGCCAGCTTTTTGGTGGTTCTTTGGAGATAAGAATCTCATAGACTTTCCTGCCTGGGCTGGCCTCTAACCACGATCCTCTAAGCTCAGCCTCCCGAGTAGCTGGGACGACAGGCGGGAGCCACCGGCACCTGACTCTCCTCTTCTTTTCCCTCCCTTCATCCTCCCTCTCCTCCTGTCCCTTGCCCTCTGCTCCTTTCCCCTCCTCCCCCATTTTCCTCCCCTCTTCTTTATCCCCTCCCCTCTTGTACCCTCCTCCTCCCTTCTTTCCCTACTTCCTTCCTTCCTCTCCCCGCCCTTCTCCTCCATCCGCGTTCTCAGCTCTCTGCCCTGCCTTCTCCTGACACCTGTGCACGCGCAGACGTCTTGAACTCCGTACCCTGGGGTGGGATATGGTGCCGGCACTGATTTGGGGGTGGCTTTTATTCCAGGGCTCTTACTGGACCATCGACACCTGTCCCGACATCTCCCGGAAGAGGAGACACCCCCCGGATGATGAGGTGAGCCGGGGACCCCCCCCCACACTTGCTCCCCTCTCCCCCTCCTCCTCCCCTGAGACCTCTCCCCTGTCGCCATCTTCAGCTGTGTCAAGACTCCCCCGAGCAGGAGGCCAGCAAGAGCCCCCGGGGGGCCGTGCCGGGAAGCGGGGAGCCCCCGGCCGCCCTGCCTCCCGAGGGCAACCCTCAGATGCCGCTCTCCAGCCCCGCCGCCATGGCCAGCTACAGCCAGGTAGGAAGATGAGGGGCTCAGGGGGAGGGGAGGGGTGGCTGCGTGGACTCTGACACTCCACTCAAAATTGAAGTTGCACATTGAGCCAGCGCCGGTAGCGCACGCCTGTAATCCCGGCTACTCCAGAAGCTGAGATCCGAGGATCGCGCCTACAAGCCAACTGGGACAGGCAAGTCCGCGAGACTTTATCTGCAATGAACCACTACAAAGCCTGCAGCGGGGCTGTGGCTCAAGTGGTAGAGCACCAGCCTTGAACGAAAAAGCCACGTGATAGTGTGAGTTAAGCCCCAGTGTGGGGTCAGACAGACAGACAGACAGACAGAAAGAACCAATGAGAGATGGAGAAGGTGAAGCCTCACAGAGAACCAATGAGAAACAGAGGAGATTAAACCATACGGAGAGCCAATGGGAAACGGAGACGGAGTTATACAGAGAACCAATGAGAAGCGGGGAAGCCGAAACCACGCGGAGCCAATGAGAAGCGGAGGTGACGTCATACAGAGAACCAATGAGAAAGAGAGATGCAGTGACACAGAACCAATGAGAAGCGGAGAAGCCGAAACCACGCGGAGCCAATGAGAAGCGGAGAAGCTGAAACCACGCAGAGCCAATGAGAAGCGGAGAAGATGAAGCCACACAGCCAATGAGAAACGCGGGAAGAGATGGAGCAGAAAAGCAGAGAGACGTGGAGAAGAGCTGAACCCACACGGAGCCCCTGAGGGGCGCAGATGGCGTCGTGCAGAGAACCAGTGAGAAATGGAGAAGATGACGCCTTGCAGAGAACCAATGAGAAAACGAGATGGAGTCGCACTGAACCAATGAGAAGACGAGATGGAGTCGCACTGAACCAATGAGGAAACGAGATGGAGTCGCACTGAACCAATGAGGAAACGAGATGCAGTTGCACAGAGCCAGTGAGAAGCGCAAATGAAGTCACACAGAGAGCCAATGAAAATAGGACATGAAACCACACAGAACCAATGAGAAAAGGACTTGAAGCCACACAGAGAACCAATGAGACATGGTGAAGATGAAGCTACGCAGAGAGCCAATGAGAAACGCAGGAAAAGATGAAGCCCCACAGAGAACCAATGAGCAAAGGACACGAAGTCCCACCCAGAGAACCAATGAGAAACGCAGGAAAAGATGAAGCCCCACAGAGAACCAATGAGCAAAGGATACGAAGCCCCACCCAGAGAACCAATGAGAAACGGAGGAAGGGGTAAAGCCGTGCCATTGGGTAGTGGGGAGCGA